GTAAGCAACCATTATGTTCTCACATTTTACTTTCAGGGTCTCACTGCCAACAGTATCTGTTACCTATTTGTAGTCCTGTTTAATGATTTTATACTGTACTGTGTGAGGGGGAGAAGGCTATTGCTTCATTGGATTCACATGTATATACAAGAGTCTGACATTATCTATGAAAAGTTATTTTGGAAAATGCCATATTCACTTCTCTCCAGGAATTTTAACTAGTCAGGTATCACTCTATCCAGGCTATTTCTTATGAACAAAAGTTGGTAAACTTTTATTACTCTAGTAAGCTTTCCCTTAGAGCCAGTTTGGTGTAGTGGTTAAAGCTCCAGGCTAGAAAACAGGAGACTTTGAATTCTAGCCCCACCTTAGGCACGAAGCCAGCTGGGTGACTTTGGGCCAGTCACTCTCTCTCAGCCTCAGGAAGAAGGCAAGGGCAAACCACTTCTGAAAATCTTGCCAAGGAAATCGCAGGGACTAGTCCAGGCAGTCACCAACAGTCAACACTGACTTGAAGGTGCATGCATGCACACACACAGACACACACAAGCTTGCTTACTTTATCTGAACTGGCTTCAATAAACATAAAGAATAAATTCTCTGAATGTTTCATTGTGATAGGGCTAACAGAAATACTGGCAATACAGAAGGACCAAAGATCCTAAGATCCATTCTATACTCTGAAATCTACCACTTCAGTTTGTAATCTGAACTACAATTTGCTAATGATTGCCCATAAGTCCATAATGAAAGATGTTCATATAGGAATGTAAGGGAAAAATGTAGAAAGCCTGAAACAAACATGGGTATTTCTAATGCCCCCCACAAAAGTATAGGAACTTAACATATAATATATGCCAATTATTTTTAGAATTAATTATGGTGCCAAATCATAGGCCTAGATTGAATCAGTGTTAAGTCTCACTCAATTTATGGGGAATTCTGAAGAACAGGAAAAGCTCACTCTTAAACAACAAATGGAATACAGCATAAAAATGCAGCAAACTCATTTATGTCCCTATATTTCACACATAGATATAAATCCAATCATTCTAATACAGTCATTTGAAAGGTGCTGTGTACATTAAAAGTATACTGGTAAATGTCATTAAATCAGCTACATTCAGAAGGGGAGATTTTAAAAAAGCCCTTAAAAGGGTTATCTTACCAAGTTTATTATCTCAGTAAACCAATACTCCAAAATGTTAAGTGCATTAAATAGTAAGAGCAGATTGATGTTAAGTGCCAAATCAGTTTTGCACAACCTTCCACAATCTCTTTGCACAACCTTCCACAATCTCAAGATGTTTTTGCATTCAGTTCCCATCATCTGACAAATGGTCATACTGTCTGGGAATTTGATTAAAGTTTCACCCTAAAATATTAACAGGTCTTTGGTTGGTAAAGCTGGTTAAAACTACATATATGAATAGAGTTTAGGCCAAGGCTTGAAAACACAATGAACTATTCCACTTGCAGCTGGCAGAAGAAATAAACCAGGACTAATTTTCATTTTGCCCCCAAAACCAGGATTGAAGAAACTCTGGTTAATTATTAAGCAGGTTAACTATAAACGTTGGATTATTTAGATGAATTCGAGGAAATGTTCAAGTTGGCACTTGCCATGAGTTCCATTCTACCCATATACATAAGCTATAGCTTAATGTTCTGTATGAACTCTATGCTCATGGTCTTTTCATTTATCTTTTCTAAAAAAGAGATAACTGTGTATATCACAGTTGTAATCATTCCACCTTTCTCAAAGCATAGCAGGAAAGAGCTGTTTGAAGGGCTGATTAAGCTGACAGGAAATACATATGGTTCTTGGCCCAACTCTCAAAGGAGCTTTACTTGATAATCTATCATGTTTTCTGCAGGTAGATAGTTAAGTAGATTGTCTCCTTCTAGTGCTCAGAGCAGAAACAGCATAGTCAGTGAAGAGTACACTTCACAAAGATAGGCAAAACCCTTACTCTTGACCACTGCATCTACTAGCTCTAAAAAAACATAATTTTAGATGAAATATCAACATAGGTCCCGCTTCTTACTACACACAGGAAGTTGACTGCAATAGTCATGAATAATTGATAGGGCTAACTAAAACCAACAGCATGAGTAAGCAACTTGATGGTACAGCATACATTTTTTCATTAATATCCATAACTTCATCAGGATGGAAACAAAGAAATGTAATTAACTGCCTTTCCCAGACTGATGTCCTCCAGATATTTGAGATTACAACTCTTCTCAGAATGTCTAGTGGTCAAGGATGAAGTATACTGCAGATTATCTGATTAGAACTAGGTTGAGGAAAGCATTACTGAACACAATAACTTTTTCTGATGCTGGATGGATCTTGCTTCCCCTCACCAAATACCATTAACATATAGTCAGGATTTCAAAGTACATATGAATAAATTACATTATCATAGAATGTGTGTGTCTATACATACTCATATATACATACATACACAAGGACAATTCAAATTTATTTATACAAAATACAGTCAGCGACCATCCAGGGCTTTGTCACGTGCTATAACTGACTCATCAAATTTAATCATGAGTGTGGTCCCTTTGTGCCAATGGGCTGTGACTTTAGCAGGGAAGCCACTGCAAGTGAGCATGGCCTCCACAATGCCAGCAGTGAAGGAGGCACAGTTGAGGGTGCTGTTCTCCTTGGGAACTGAAATGTAAGTATTGATAAGAGGCTCTTTCTCAATAATATAGTAGGTCTTGTCATCATCATTGGCTTGCTCAAGCTTGTCAGCTTCTTTCCCAAAGAGAGCCTTCCACACAGTCACCTTGATGAAGAGCAGAATATTGATGACCTTGGTTTCTCGCTTACCATTTTTCTCTCGCATTACCAGCACATCCAGGATACGGGCTCCCACCTGCTGGCCTAGCTCAGAAAGTTTGTTCTGAAGCTCAGAAACAGAATAGACCCTGTTCTGGCAGTACTGCACAATCTCAGAAAACAGCAGGGAAAAGGCACTGAGGCTTACATCTGTCTTGGGTCGGGTGAGTGAACGTTCAAGGATTGCAGATTTTCCACGAGTAAAACGCGCATCCATAGTGCTACTGAGAAAAAAGTTATTGAGGCAATAAGCACATGGCTACAATATATGATGCTGTTTAATTTAGAAATAAAGAAACATGGGGGGGGGGAGAGAAAAAGGAAAACCCTTTTCAGTGATTCAGACAATGTCTATAGAAATGTCTTCCTCCACATTTGAAATTAGAGATTATAATAGAAAATAATTAAAACTTATGGTTGGGAGATTCAGACTAGAAAGAAAACACTATACATTGTGTAATATTTAATGTATAAAATTTATTCCACTAAGGCTGGTGTGGGTCTTCCAGGCTGTGTGGCCGTGTTCTAGAAGGGTAACATCACCCTGGGCACAGAGAGAACTGCTCCTG